GAAGCGGGGGGAGGGCTCGTCCGCGCCTTTTCCTTGACCGGCCGCGCAGCTCGCAGCTGACCATCAACACGGCCATCGTCTACGTGCACCGCTTCTACATGGTGCAGGCCTTCACGCAGTTCCACCGCAACGTGAGTGCGGGGCGGGACGAGCGCCGGGGGCTGGGGTCGAGGATAGGGCCGGGCTCCCGTCCCCGGTTCCCGCATTATTTATCCCAAGTCACCTATAACACGTCATGAGCCGCCCCCGATGCTGTAGTTTCCTTGGCTGGCCCCGGGCCTGCGAGGAGTAGGCCGGTAATTTGCCCCAAGTCATCCGTAAAGCATCGATAGTGGTCCCCGGGGCTTATAGTTTCCTTGGCAGGCACCTGGGCCGGTGACTTTCCGTGCCACGCTAAAAGTCCTGCCACGTGGGACATCTGCTTCTGTCCCTGTTTTCGTTATTAGTCGTCCCAAGTTATCTGGAACGCGTCGTTAGTGGCCCCTGATACTAAAGGTGGTGGTAAAAGTCCTGTGTCACGTGGGGACCAGGAGCGCACGAGGCTGCAGCCCCTCTTCTGCCTCCTTCCTCCAGAAACTCTTACTGAGGCTCTGGCTGCGCTGTTCCCCGCTCCTGTTCATGTATGCACTCCCCGTCTGTGGCCCCACCAAGCCCCAGGATCTCCTGCTCAACCTCCTCTTGGCCCTGCCTAAACTGTCAGTGGACCTTACCAGGAAGGAGGCTCTGGCCGGGAGGGTCCCCAGGGAGTGAGGCTGTTTTCCTGTCCCTAGTGTGTTCCCATCTCCAGGTAGAGTATCACCGGGCAGCGTCCACTGGCTGCTTGGACTCGTTTGAGGGCCCGTGGGTGCTGTCCGATGTGCTCTGCTCACTGTCACCCTTCTAAGCTCTGACCTCCACTCCTGTCCTCATTTTCATTATGATTTGTCTTAAGTAATCTATGACATGTCATTAGTGGCCCCCAGTAATAAAGGGGCCTTATAGTTTCCTTGGTGGGCCTGTGATTTTCCCTGACACATTAAAAGTCCTGTCACGCTGGGACCTTGAGTGTGCCAAGCTGCAGCCTCTCTTCTACCTGCTCCAGAACCTCTTGTTGAGGCTCTCGTTATGCATCTCCCCCGTGCCTTTTTTTATGTGCTTCCTGTCCGTAGCCTCACCAAGTCCTGGGGCCTCCTGGTCAATCTCTTTCTGGCCCTGGCTATGCTGGGTGTGCATCTTACCAGGAAAGAGGCTGTCACGCGGGGACCTCAGGTGTGCCAGGCTGCAGCCCCTCTTCTGCCTTTTTCCTCCAGAACCTCCTGCTGAGATTCTGGCTGCGCTTCTCCCCTGTGTCTTTTTTTTGTAATGTGGCCCCACCAAGTCCCAGGACCTCTCGGGCATCCTTCACCTGGGCCTGGCTAAGGTTACAGGAAGGAGGCTGTGGCCAGGAGGGTTCCCCGGGGATTGTAGGACCGCTTTCCTTGCCTCGTTCCCGTCTCCAGGCAGAGTATCACTGGGTAGTGTCCACTGGCTCCTTAGACTTGTTTGAGGGCCCGCGGGCACTGTCAGATGTGCTCTACTTGTTGTCCCTGCTTGGCACTCTAATCTCTGACATCCACTCCTGTCCCTGTTTTCACTATTATTTGTCCTGAGTGCTCAGTAAAGTATCATTAGTGGCCCCCAGTACTAGAGGGTGCTTAGAGTTTTCTTGTCAGGCTTGGGCCCATGATTTCCTTGACATGTTAAAAGTCCTGTTACGCAGGGACGTTGAGTGTGCCAGGCTGCACCCCCTCTCCCCCTGCTCCTGCACTCCTCGTCCATGGTCCCACCAAGCCCCAGGACCTCCTGGTCAGCCACCTCCTGGCCCTGGCTAAACTGGCCATATATCTTGCTAGGAAGGAGGCTTTGGCTGGGAGGGTCCCCAGGGACTGCAGGGCTGCTTTCCTGTCTCTAGTACCTTCCCATCTCTGGGCAGAGTATCACTGGTGATGTCCACTGGCTCCATGGATTAATTTGAGGGCCCCTGGATGCTGTCCGGTGTGCTCTGCTAGGTGTCTTCCTGTGGCATGCTATTAACCTTTAACCAGCACTCCTGTCCCTGGTTTTTTATTATGTATCTCCATCCATCTGTCGTCACCTTTTCTGTAGCCTCCCCATCTGAGGGAGTTTAATAGGTTACCTGGTGGGCCTAGGTCCATGTCCCTCAAGGTGACAAATAGGCCTGTGTCATATGAGGACCTCGACTGTGCCAGGCTGCAGCCCCTTTTCTGCCTCCTCCATAACCTCCTGCTGAGGCTCTGGCTGCGCGTCTCCCCGCATTTTTTGTTATGCGCTTCCTGTCCATGGCCCCACCAAGCCCCAGGACCTCCTGGTCAACTTCCTTCTGGCTCTGGCCAAGCTGGAAGGAGCGGGAAGGAGGCTTTGGCTGGAGAGAGCCCAGGTGAGTGTGGGCCTTTCTTCCTGGCACTCTTCTGCTCTGGGCGAAATGTCACTGGTCGGTGTTCACAGGTTCCCTCAACTCGTTCAGGGGGCAGTGGGCACTGGTCGGTGTGCTCCGCTCTGTGTCCCCTTCCGAATTCCTTGTTTTTAACCTGTGACCTCACTCCTGTTCCGATTTTCTTTTTTGTTGTTCCAACTGATGTGTCCTCAGTGGCCTCCCTTCTTAAGGGATGTTTATAGTTTTCCATGATGGGCCAAGGCCCATGACCCCATGGCACATCAAATAGACTTATGTCGCGCAGTGGCAGAGAGCAGGTGCTGAAAGGGAAAGCAAAAAGGGGGTGACGAGGGGGTTTTTGTTTCGGTTTTTTTACCCTGTTCCTCTCTCACTTTTAGCCCTCTCATTTTTAGCCTCCAGCACTTAAGGTCTAGGAAGTTCTGATTCAGAGGCTGTGCCCCTGACCCTGCGCTTAATGGCAACGGATGCCCCTTTCCTCCAAGAATGTGTCCAATCCCTTTTTGAATCTGGCTAAACCGTCAGCTTCCACCACATCTGGTGGCAGCAAGTTTCACCCTTGAATGATATGCTGGGTTTAAAAAAGGAACTTATTTTTGTCAGTTTTAAACTTACTCTTGGCTAGTTTTATGTTGTGTCCCCTAGTAGTTCTTGCTGCTTCTGTGTGTCTGTTTTCCCATATGTAAAATGGGTCCAGTGCTGATCCATGGTGGGAGGTTGAGGCTTGGCTGGCTGGGAAGGCAAGAGATATGAAATGATTGCGGGTCATTCTGATCTTGCACATCCTAGACACAAACACGGGTGATTATTGCCTAGTCCACTTCAGAAAGGGATCTTCTCTGCTTTTGTCCTTGATTCCAGACATTTATTACAAGGTTTTTCCTTCTTTCGTCCTCCTCCACGCAGTCTGTGGCACCGGCAGCCTTGTTCTTGGCAGCCAAGGTAGAGGAACAGCCTCGTAAGCTAGAGCACGTTATCAAGGTGGCACACGCCTGTTTGCACCCCCAGGATCCTCCCCCAGACACTAGGAGTGAGGTAAGTGGCTGGACACTGGTGATGTGATTGTGTCACTTGGTGGGAGAGGAAGCTGAGGGATGACAGTGTGCTCCAAGGGTCTTGTATCCTGAAATATCTCGTTATATCAAGTACAGAGCTATTCATTCTGCAGGTGAATAGTTACGTTGCAGAATGGATGGTTACAAAACTTTCAAGTTTCCTGCTGTTATACACTGTAGAGTTTTTTGGCTTCTGGATAGCAAAAGACTTTTCTCTCCTGCTCTGTCTCCCCCTTGTTTCTTTCTGCTATACTGGTGTGAATGTGAGAATCAATTGTGCCACATAGTGGCTGTGTTAAAGGCGTCTGCATTAAAGTAGGGCATGGATGTCAACTGTCAAGGTAAAGAGCAGAAAATGGTGTGTGTGTGTAGTTCAATCCTGCTCTCTCCCACCTAGTGATGGGGTTGCTAGAAATGTTGTTGTTCCCCATCTCATGAGAATCCTTCCTTACTGGTACAGAGTATGCAACCCTGCTCGAAGGGGGAAGCTTTACCCAGAGCCCAAAGCTTTAGGAAAAAATTAACTGTTTACCCAGCTGCTCCCGCTGATGTGTCCTGTGGTGTCTAAAACTGGTCTTCGTCTCCCCAGAAGAGAAACTGGGCCAGCGTGGATCCGGCAGCAGCCCCTGTGAGACAATTGCCAACAGGGCATTGGGTCCACCCAGCACTCTGCTTTTTCTCTTGTTGGGGGGGAATCTGTGTCAGTTCCCTCTAGCACTGAGTGGGATAATGATTCCCCCTTTGTTTTTTGCTTTCCTGAGAGAGCGTGTTAGAAATGTGCAGGCTTTATACAGAGTGCCTCCTCGTGAGTAACCTGCCTGTCCTCTCAACCCCAGGCTTACCTGCAACAAGCCCAAGACCTGGTCATTCTAGAGAGCATTATACTGCAGACCCTGGGTAAGTTTTTCAAAGCGGACGGGCTGCTACTCAAATCCCGGACCCAGGAGGAGATTGGAGAGTCTAACCCCAGTCTTCTCCACAGCCGAATGGCAGAGGTGCAACTGGCCAGCAGGAGAGCATGAGTCCAGGCACCCCACTTTTTTTTCCCTCACACGTTCAACTCATGGCTTGTTTTTATTGTCAGTGTTTCAGGTTTAACTTCAATTCAAGCTAAGCGTTCAGGGGGAAAAATGTAAACATGTAAAGCTTGACCTGTTTTTTCCCCCAGCAGGTTTTGTACTGCTTAGATGCCAGTTTTTCTATGGATACAGATTGTTAAACACTATAGCAACACAGCGCTGTAGTGCAGTGGCCAGGATGGGCAACAGTTTTCAGTGGAGCACTGTATTTCTATGGGATGAGTGTTTGCTCAAGGTCAGCAGAGCTGTCACAGCCTTAATTTTCTTCATTTTTGTTTTAATCATAGCCCTTCATTGTTTCTAAGATTGGGCCTTTCTTGCAGTTCCAGATAATTCAATGATAGAAGCTCCTGTAGAGGAGGTTCTGTTAGATTTTTATTAGCCTTTTTTTAATGACTAATCCTGATGGATTCAAAGTTAAGTTATATTCAAACTTACAGTTCTTCAGTGTGCAAGGCAATTAATATATAGAGCCCTTTGCAGTTAAAGTGCTGGAAAAAGCTTCGCTACTTCTAACTCCACTGTAAAGTGAGTTAAACTGGAATGATCCCTAGCTTCCACAGTGGTGAAATGAGGACCCATAAGTATTAAGTGACTTGCTCACAGTTACACAGGAAGCCTGTGCTCAGTTTTCCAGTGACTTCTCTTAGCCATCCCCCCTTCCCCCTGTTCTTCTTAGAATATGCTAATTAGACAGCAAAAAACAGGTTGCTCACATGGGCTTGTCTATGCAAAGTGTATGTACCGAATGGGAATGTGGAGTAAGGAATACCTGCACCTGATATTCAGACTCCTCAGAAGGAAGACACCTTCTTCCTCTTGACTTTGAGTGACAAAAATTCCTCTGAGCAGATGCCATTGTCGTCTTCCTTCCTTTCAGCTCTTGCAAGAGATTTTGTCCTGTTGTTCTTCTAATATCCCTAATAGCTGTTCTCTCTACAGTGAGGTGAAGTTTATTTAGCTACTTGGAGACCAGGAAGCAGCAATAACCTTCTGGCTTTGTACTTGGGCAGCTTCAGCCTCCTGGATATAGGAAGACAGCCTACTTTATTCTGTCTGTCTCTGAGCAGAAAGCAGGAGATTTTAATGGGGAGGGGAAATACAAGGAACGGATTTGCCTTTCCAGGAGCAGGAGGCACGCGTGGTATGTAGTACCGTGGGTGCATTCTGTCCGTCTCCTAATGGCCTTGTGTTTCTTCTTTTCTTTCAGGTTTCGAGATCACTATCGATCACCCCCATACCCATGTGGTGAAGTGCACGCAGCTAGTGCGAGGTAAGAGACTCGCAGTATGCTGTTGTATGCTTGTTGCCCTCTGCTACAAAGGCAGCTGTGTTTTGGTCATAGGTGAATTGATTCACACAGGGAGCTTAACGCTCTCTATAATTTGAAACATTTTTTTCTAGAAAAGGGCTGCTTAAGCATGTGGGGGTAGCATTGACTCATGGTTCTCTCTGGACATGTCCAGACCTCCATCCTGTATGTTTAATGGTGGTATATTGAGCTTTAGAATAAAGATTCTGCAGTTGCAGGTCACTGGAACAGAGGGCCATTACTATATTGAAATGCAGCAAAACAAAGAACATGCTTTTGAGTAGAACAGTGGGTGCAGGGTGGAGCTAGAGCTAATCAGACCAGTAAGATACTTTACAGTTGGTTCTTAGCCATCATGGTCACTGCTAACTGACTGCCTCTGTAGCAGCATCCAGGCTAACTCTTATTTCTCTTTTTTCGTTTCCAGCCAGCAAGGATTTGGCACAAACTTCCTACTTCATGGCTACTAACAGGTTATTATTACTTTAAAATTGATTTGTCTGTTTCTGGCCCAGGGTTTTATCTGTAGGAGGGTGTATGTCTTGTAATCTCTTGGGGAGGGTCATTGTCTAGTGAATACCAGGGATTTATTCAGAGCTATTCCAGAGGAGAAACTCTCCCTGCCCCACAGAGTTTCCCATTGGATTTGAAATATTCTAGATGGAGATATAGAGGGAATTCAGTTGCTGCTAAAATCCACAGAAGAAACTGATTCTAGAGAGGATGTGAAGGATGTGATCGGTATTTTACTAGTTTCATTACAGTATGGCCTGGATCGCTGAAATCGTAGCCCAGAGCACCACAGTGCTAGGTGCTGTCTAAACACAGAACAAATAAGGTCCCACCCCAAACAACTATAAATCAAGAGAGGCAATGTGAGGGCCAGTTCTGTCTTGCTGTTTCTTTGTATGCCAACATGAGAGGCAGTGGTCTGTAAAGCTGGACCCTTATTCCTAAAGTGATGGACATGAAGAAGAACAAAGACTTTTTTTTTCCTCTTGAAATATCTGGAGATGCTTTTGGGCTTTCAAATTAGAATGGGAAAATCTATTTCTTATTTCAAAAGACAGGAATTAGAACTTTGATTAAAGAAAAAAAGGGTGGACGATGGTAACTCCTACATCATTACTTCATGCAAACCCACGGAATGAAATTCTGGTCTGGGCTGTTCATATGCAGCAGAAACCTAGGTTGACTTCTTGAGGGTGTTGAGAGAAGTTAGACCTGGTAATATAATAAAAAGCTTTAAAGGAGGGAAATCACAGTCTTTTGGGGGCTCTGATTCCTAAATTACCGCAAGCTGCCAGAAAATATCATGTTGGCACAAAGTCAGGCCTGGGTCTAGAGGTCTGCCAAGTTTTGCTGGCAGAGCTGTGTTGGTAAAGGAGCCTGAGTTTAATTTGTTTTTTTCCTATACCCCTTGCTAGACATGGCTCTGCTTGCAAAAACTCCAGTGTAGCCAGTGTTGTGCTGATGCAGTCCTTTTGCTGGTATAGTGTATTTTGTTGAGGGGACTCTGATCAAAAGATTGCATTGGTCTGAGAGCTGCATCTCCAGTTGCTTTTAATAGCAAATCCTTTCTAGTGTAGACAGAATACTGGCATTGGAAAAATCTGTTTCTTTTGCCACTGCTGGTATGTGACTTTGGGCAGGCTGTTCCCTCCCTGTGTCCTTTTACCCAGCTGTAAGGGGGAGGTAATGCCCTTCCTTCCATCCCTGCAGCTTGCTCTGGCAAGATCTGTGGAAACATTGTGTAGAACTTCAAAGTGTTTTATATTCAGAAGTTTGCGGGACCTTAGTACAGTGTTGTATTGTGGGATTCCCAGACAGACTGTTATAAAAGAGGAAAGTATGTTATAATTTATGGGTAAAAAAAAGAAACCCCCCCCTCTGCCTGTGAAACGTATTTTAGGGACATCATATTTATCCCCACACCAATTATTACAAAACCAAGGATTTAGAAGTAAGGTTACCCTTAAGAAATCAAAGTATAAGGTAAGAAATGCACAGTTAAAGCACTCTTAACTCTACCTTGTAGTGATGCCATGAAATGATGTTATGAATTAGGCATTCCAGATTAGCTTGATCACATTTTTAAAAACAACTGTTTCGCTTTCTCCCTTATGGTGTCACTAAAACGTAGCACTTGAGGTTATTTACCCATCTTAACTTCAAGTGAAACCCTGGCTGAATATCCTGGGTTCATGACGGTTGGCTTCAGGATTCCACAGTCTCTCCATTTGAATGTGTTTAAATATTTGGTGTAAATAAATTCCTATACAAAGATTTTCATTAGGGAGCTGAACAAGAAGCACAAAATGCCACGCTGGTAGTTAATGATGTGTAAGATCAAATATTGATCTCTTGCTAATCTCAACTTCTTTGAAAAACAGAGGGTCGCTAATAAGTCAGAGCAGCTCAAAAGCAGGTGGGGCACGCTGTTAAACGTAGCTCTCAGTTTCCAGTTGACTCGATGGCTAGTGTCTTGTTTAACAGATCTAGTGCTAGGAGATTGTGGGGAAGGCAGGGGTGTCAGTGAATGGCAGTCCTTGAGCTCAGTATTTCTGCTCAGCAGAGGTGTCCTCCAACTCCCTCTTCTGCCACCAAGTCATCAGCCAGAAGTGCTGTGTGCGTTACCTGTAGAGAAAGTGTAACACCCAACTGAGCTAACCCTGTTGGAATGACCCCATTTCAGCTTGTCTAGCTTCTATAACATTCATAATCATTTACAGCAGTTCTTAATGACTTGGCTAAATTACAATTTACGTTTCTTAAAAATAAATAGTGGGCATGGGTTATGTTTGAAGGGTAGTAAAGGTTGGAAGAGTCCATTTCACTTGATCAAGTCATCCGGGACAGTTCAGAAGTTGCCCATCTCTTTTTCTTTGAGGAGCCCGTTGTAATCCATTTTAACTCCTAAATTAGTGCATTTGTAAACCCTGTATTTGGAGTGAGCATTGTAAGTGCGTGGAGGGCACGCTGTGGCTCTTGTGCAGAACAGATTGATTCCCTGCTTTAATTGTGAAGCGGTTCCGCCTTGCCGAGAAGTCATGACTTGTGCTTCTCTGATAAATATCTCACAGAGCGGGGGTGAGGCTTTCCTTAATCATTCCTCCTTTCCATAGCCTCTCTGTGCCTCCTGGGACGCACCTGTTCTGCCAGCACCTGCCTGTGTTGGCTGTGGCTGATTTTTTTTCATTGCTTTGCTGTCTGGAGCTCTGCATGGTTGATGAGGTCAAACTTCAAGGGAGGTGCAGGCTCTATAGGCTTCCTCTTGTGACCTGTGCGTTCTCCGGTCTGTCGTGACAATACATGTGTCCTCACCAATCAGGTTGACTTCACAGGAGCGCCATGTGGCTTGGGGATCTGCATTCTCCAGCCACGTAAACTTGCTTCAGCGGCAGGAGCGGACTTGTCTGAATTTCTTTTCAGGTTGGGCAGAGCCCAGGCATGACCAAATAACCTAACTGCCCTGACTTTATGGGGCACGTGCAGGCTCAGGGGTGTACTTTTTCCCCGTGCTAGGCCTCAAAGCCCACGCTTGGCACAGGCCTGTGGGAATCCTTGTGGAGAAGCCCGGAGCTGAATTGGTTTGAACAGAGCAGGGGCACAACGAGCGCATTGGCAGTGCAGGATAGAGACGCCTGTAAAACAGGGCCGTACCAGGGGAGGAATTGCCCGTGTCCCTTCAGGAACGTTCCCACCATGCCCACCTCATCCGCAGTGTCTGTTCAGCAGGCGATTGTGTGTGCTGAGGTTCAGGCTTGGGAGTTCATGGCTTTCTGTTTCTCTCTCCCTGCTGGTGACGTCAGCCTGCACCTGACCACCTTCAGCCTGCAGTACACCCCTCCCGTTGTGGCCTGCGTCTGTATCCACCTGGCTTGTAAGTGGTCCAACTGGGAGATCCCAGTCTCCACGGATGGGAAGCACTGGTGGGAATACGTTGATGGCACTGTAACTCTGGAGCTCTTAGATGGTAAGTTTTGGAGCAAGGTTCCCTCCCAAAAAGGCATTTTTATTATCTTGGCATCTCTGTTCCTGGGTCTGCCAATCAGACACGGCCGCTTCATGGACTCAAAGGGCTTCTGATCTTGCTGAGGTTTCCAGCGTGGCAGCTTCTGTGGTACACTAGAGACAGTAAAAGGCATGAAAGGGGATGAATTTAAATGTGGGCCAGTGTTACTAGTTCTCAGCATTTCCCTTCTTGGAATAGCTCCATCTCATCTCGAGTAGCTCCACCCATCAGTAAGCAGGGGGTGCTCTGTATCCTTCTGACATTCCTGTCTCTGTTCTGTGTGTCTCCTTTGCAGAGCTGACTCATGAGTTCCTGCAGATCCTCGAGAAAACTCCGAACCGACTCAAACGCATCCGGAACTGGCGGGTAAGAATCTCCTGTGCTGGGCTGCTTCCCACTGCTGACTCCTAGAGAACGCAGTCTGTGAAGTGTCTGGGCCACGTTTGTGCGGTGTCTCTCTTAACAACGCCAGCCAATGTCTGGGGAGGGAAATGCCGCAGAACAAAATTCCACGGATGCTTGTCTTCATGAGTTTTGAATTAGTGCGCTGGAAGCCTCGCTCTTCTTCAGCTCAGGCTGATGAGCTCATTCCCTGTGGATGAGTTGGATGCTTCTTACCCAGGCAGAGGTGGAAAGGCTTGTTTGCTGCTTTCCCTGAAGACTGAGCTTTAATTTACACTTACCTTCTAGCAGCATTCAAGGCTTCCAAGGTTCTTGAATAGGCTGGCTGACCTCCTGAATCGAGAGCGATCTGCCCTCCCGATGGCTGCTACTTGCAGCTGTGCGCCAGCTGGCTGCTGCTTCTCACTCCAGCATGGCCTAGATTTGCTGGTGCGTGTACCTTTGTAGTGTGATGTGCTCCCCCAAGAAGATGCTGGCTGAGAATTATCTAGCCTAGCTGGCTGGTAAGGTTGGGTGATCTAGGAAGCCCAAGGAAAGCCAGACTTGTTGCAAGACAGTCACGTGCTAAAGCTGCACCACTGGGATAACTGCTCATGAACTCCTCAGGCCTGCTGTTGCCTTGCATAGAGGCAGTGGTATCAGTTGCAGCAGCCCGCACCTACCCCAGTAAGGAACGGGGCCTGAGGTGCAGAGCCAGCAGCATGCAAATGCCTTTTCTGTCTCCTTTCAGGCCTCTCAGGCAGCCAAGAAATCCAAGCCCGATGACCAAGGAGAGGATGACAGCCTCTCGGAGCAGACGATCCTCAGCATGATCTCCAGGAACAACAGCTCGGACATGAACATCGCGGGCTTGATGAGCATGTCGACTTCCTCCACCGCAGGTGCTGCATCTTCCCTCTCAGCTGCTGCAGACTCGCCCAGCTCCCAGGGCGGCTTGGAGACATCGCAGTCAGACCACTGGATGTCCCAGCACCCGCCGCACAAACTAGAGGCCAGCCAAGGTCACAGGACTAATGAGGGTGCAGCAGCCGCCGACCACCCTCTGCAGCAGGATGGTACCACGTACCAGAAGCAGGGCAGCAAGAGCGCACCCTCGGCAAAGGTGTCACTGAAGGAGTACCGGGCCAAGCATGCCGAGGAGCTGGCCGCACAGAAGCGGCAGCTGGAGAACATGGAGGCCAATGTGCGGTCTCAGTATGCCTATGCCGCGCAGAACCTGCTGGTGCAGCAGCAGCGGGAGCGGGAGGCACAGCCTGAGGGCACACCCTCCCCCATCATCCTAAAGATCCCTATCGGTGGCTCAGAGAGCGTGGAGCGCCCTGCTGCCGACAAGGGAGACAAGGCTTCTGCCCTCAAGCTAAGGATCCCTGTGGCCGGCGGCGCCGGAGACAGGCCGCTGCCCTCCAAGCCTGAGGAGATTAAAATGCGGATTAAGGTGCCGGCCGCCTCAGACAGGCACAGCTCCTCAGACGAGAGCAGCGGGAAGAGCCGTGACCACAAGGAGAAGCACAAGGGCCACTCCTCTAATCACCACCACCACCATCACAACCACCATATTCACAAACATTTGCACGTGCAGCCAGCAGCCGGCACCAGCATTGCCGGGAACAAGCGGCCTGGAGACTTGAAGCACAGTGGCCAGCAGAGTGCCGTGCCTCACAAGGGGTTTGGCTTGTCTGGCTCCGCTCGAAAGAGGCCGCTCCCGGAGGAGGCGTCAACTGTAGTGCACGAGCACCCACCAAAAATCAGTAAAAGCTCCAAAACTTCTGGCATGCAGTTCTACCCCCACCTCCCTGGCGCGGCTCAGCTACCTGGGCACAGCTCAGACACCCCTGGCCTTCCCTTGCCCCAGGCTGGCAAAGCCAGGGGTGCCCACAGCAAAACAGACAAAGGTCCTGCCGGGGCCAATGGCCACAACGCAACCCAGGCCATTGACTACCAGGATACAGTCAGCATGCTGCACTCACTGCTGAGTGCCCAGGGTGTGCAGCCCACCCAGCCCCCTGCTTTCGACTTTGTGCACTCGTACACCGAGTACTTGAATCCGCGGGCTGCTGGGAGCGCCAGAGCCGCCAACACGGACAAACCCCGACCGCCCCCTCTGCCATCAGAACCCCCCCCACCCCTGCCGCCACTCCCCAAGTAGAGCCCTTTTTACTACTGAGTTTGTACAGACGAGCCTGCTCGCCCCGGCCTGGACTCAGGCCAGCTCCTGCAGGGGAGGGAAGGGGCTGTTTTAACTTCCACTGCCTCACAAAGACCTGTTAATTATCGTTTTTATTATTGGGATTTAGAGCGCAGTCCTCCAAGCTGTGAAAGAATAAGAAACACCCTTTCTCTGTTCCATGCTCCTGCCCCCCCCCTTCCCTCCCCCCCAAATCCCACTGGAATCGCTGGGGTCTGTCCCCTCTTGGAACAAAGCCCCGACCAGGGTTCGTGTCCCACAGGGGCCGGGGCACAGGGGTATTTAAAACATGTCGCAGAATCTCTTAAAGACTTTTTTAAAATAATTTAAACAGTAAGTTATATCTGTTAGTGTTCTGTTCCTTTTCATTTTGTAACTGGTGGGGCGGGGGCTGCTGCAGGAGGCCGCTTCTGACAGCTCTGGCTGGCTGGTCCCCAGCCCTCCCAGAGCAGCTTATGAGAGGGGGAATGTGAGGTTGCTCCAGGCACGGCTGGCAATGAAGAGGGGGACGGGTTGACACGTGAGAGGGAGGCACGAGAAGTGCCTAAGGAGAGCCCTGCAGCTGGCGGCAGCACAGTCTGGTAAATGGGGCGGGGTGGGGGACAGCTCTGCCACTGACTGCTGATGTAACCCTGGGTGTGGTGTCTTGCCTTCCTCTGCTTCCATTTCCTCACATGTAGAATGAGGTTCCTGCTGCTCCTCCCTCGTAAAGCGCTTTACATGCACACCTGCTTGTATTGGCTTTTTATCCTTCCCCCTCCAAGGCAAGGGGGGAGCATCCTGTGAACCTGGCTGATGCTTTCCCCTCCCCCCTACCTGAAGCACATGCCAGGTACTCCCTACCAGATCATGCTGGTTGCACTGGAATGGCTGTGGCAGGCTCCATCACATTGCTTTAGTGACAAAGCATGTCTGGGGAGCGTAGGGGGAGGAGCGGGTGCCGAGCCAAACTCACAAAGGGGCCAGGACTTGGCACCCCGGTGGTAGGAACAGCAGCAAGGTGCTTTCCGAGTCCTTGCTCCAGTCTCCTGCTGAGATAAACGCTGCCTAATAGTGGAAGTGAGACTTAGGAAAGGGAAAGCGGAGCTGTGCCACAGACGGGCTCAAACTGAAAGAGCTGCTGTGCCCCAGACGGGCTCAAACTGGGGTTGTGATTTCGGATGCTTTAAAATGTACTTCAGTGTCATTATGGAACGAGATTTTTATGCAAATTAATTAAAGAAAAATGACGTGACTTGTTCTTCAACAGTCTTTTGAGGCAGCTGGGGCTGAGTTGTTTCAGTGGCCAGAGTTGGGCTGGCATGTGGGGCTGGACCTGATGCATGAGGAGCTGGGACTCCAAGTGGGGCTTGCGTTCCTATGGGGATTAGGAGCCTAGATCTGTGTCTTCCCTGCACCCCTAACCCCAGTATAGTTGTCTGGGTCCCACGGTGTTACCTCTTGTATTACTGGCATTCATGAGCCCATGTCATCTGGCCATACAGGCATGTGCCTAGAAATGGCTTGAGTTTTGTGGGGGGGAGGTAGCTGTGTTTGCAGCCCCTGCACGTGGCTATAGCTGGAAAGGTGCTAAAATGGAAATAACAGCTAAGCAGACTCCTTGCATTTGGTCAGGCCTCTGGCTGCTCTGCTTTGCTTTCCTTTGCCTCGGCTGTGCCAGTTTGCAGGCGCTGTCTCTGGTGCATAGCGTCTGCATTGTGCAGGGCAGGTGTCCCTTTGCGTGGCATCTCGCAAAATGCACGAGCCGTGTGGGCTTTGCTGTTCCCCTGGAGTAAAGCTGGTGGAGTCGGCTGGTCCGACACGGGTTTGAACCTCTAGAAGACTCTGACCTGGTGCAGTCGCCCCTGGAAAGCAAGATCAGAACAAGGAACTAGAGAGTAGGCAAAAGGAGGGGGAACTTCTTCGGATCAGCCTGTGCATGCCTCAAGTTGTAGGTTCGGCGTTGTCAGGCAGCGGAGATTGCGCCGGCTAGAGAAGTCCACTGTCTGGCCCTGCGTGCAGGGCACCTCCAGGAACAGCTCCCCGAGGGACTCCTGTGCCAGTGTTGGCAGCTGGTGGAGCCCTGGAGCAGGGGAATCCAAGCAGTGTTGGGCATGCTTTTTTTTTTTCTCTTCCATTTACTCGCAGAAAAACTAATGACTTCTCCCTCATGGTTCAGATAATTTCCCAAGTTGCCACTATATTTATTTTCTCCATATGCTCTTGTGAAATTTGACCTGTTCTGCATTACACTCTGGATTTGTTTCTTTTTAACCATAAACTGCTGCCCTCCCCCCTGCTGTCAGCACGGCTACTTTATTTCTAGACCAAAAGCTTTTTGGTCTGACTCTTCTGCCTTTTCCCTACCAAAATGTTTTTAGCAGGGGAGCAGCTTGTTTTCTCACTCAGATGCAATCTTCTCTCCTGGGGCTGGATGGAGCTGACCCTTGAGATAAAAGGTGCTGCTGTTCCTTTGTACCTGTCAGTTTTGGAAACAGAGGTACTGGTTTAAAAAATGAAAATAGCTGCATACATGTTGCCTACAGCTGTGAATCTGAACCAAGGGACGAGAGTATTGCTCTTTTCTCTGGTAGAAATAGATGCATCTCATGACCACATCTTCAATAGAGAGCGAGCATTTGGCTTTACTAGCTCCCAGAGAGGCCAGCAGTAAAATGAGAATGCCAGGGTCTTTCCTCTCATTCAGTTCTTGCTCTTACCTGGTTCACAGCAGCTTTGAACTTAGATTCTTCACAGGTGGTGGCGTGTGAGGAACAAAGGGTTGTATGTTCCTGGCCTGTGTTGTGGATTCTGGTAAAGGATGGGGAGCTGCTTAGAATTTGGGATCCAAATGGTGAAACCTCCCGTCTTCCATCGGTTGACACAGTCGTGAATTAGGAAAGTGGTTTGGATCATGGGAAACCCTCACGGTGCCCAGGATGCAGCTTGGATCCGTGTGGAAGAGCAGTTTGTTTTCTGAGGGCAGACCATCTCTGGTACCAGCTAAAATTGCCCCTAGGCTTTATCTTACCGCATTCTTTATCTTCATCTTACACGAGGAATTAGGACCTGATTTCTTGTGCTCTGTTACGTGCCTGGTTTGGTGGGTGGTAAGTGTGGGTGGTAGATGGGAGCTCATGGCCCAGCTGAGTGTGTGCGTGTGAAAGAAGTCTTGTTGGTGCTGACCTGCCTGGTATTCTGTGGCGACCAGAGTCTTGGAACAGAAAGTTGTCTGACTTAGAGGAGTCAGGCAGCTGTTACACAGTGATGCTCAGGTGGATTTTCCTGGTGGTGATGAAGAAGGACATGGTTTAAATTACTGGGTGCTGGAGGGAGGGCTGTGCTGAGCTGGATTTCCTGCTCTGCTCTTCTGCATGCAAGTTCCTTGCCTTGCTCAGCCAGGGGATGCTGTCGGTGCAGGCAAGGCTACTCTCACTTCCATCCAGCCTGAAACATCCCGGACTGGAACTGGCCCAGGTGCTCTCAGAGCAGGGGCAGCCATGACTAGATGGGGAGTAGCAGGGGTGGCTGGGAAAGCCTCAGGAGGGGGAGAGAAGGACCCACTCTGTACTTTCACTGCTGCCCAAGCCTCCTGCCATCATATCGGCTCATCTTATGCTCAACAGGGAGCCACCGAGTCGATTGTGGCCCTGTCCCTGCATGTCAGTGACTTCAGAAACTTTTGTTCAGCCTCGTGAGGTGGGAGACTCGTGCCCTGAAGGGAGTTCCTGTTGTTTACCTTCGGACAGGTTGAAATACTTAAAACTTTGGACATTTGTTTTTAAAAACAGAGATCTGACTGCTGCAAAAATTCCAGTGTCAACCCATTTTCCTTCCAGGGGCCACGTGGGGTGGGGGGAGCTTGCCCGAGGGCTTCGCTGCCACCCTGTCCAGCTGGGAGGGTGCTTGACGGCTTTTAAAGCTGTTGTTGTTGCTTCCTTGCACCCTGCGCATTCAGGGTGGTGCCTGCATCGCAGGATGTTAAGAGTGGGGGGACATGCACAAGTGCTACACATGCCTCAGATCAGCCTCGAGGTTTGATTCAAATGTCACTTCTTACCCCTACGAAGCCAAAGAGCAAAATGTTGTGTTTTCTGATCTCGCACTCAGGGCTGCCTTGTGCTTGCAAACAGATCGTTTTGGGGTTCCCCGCCCTCCTGCTGCCCCTCTCCTCCCCATAAAAACTGCCTTCCTTTTTGCCCCCCCCCTTACAAAATGTGACAACTCCTCAGTAAGGGCTTCTTGTGGGTTAATTAATCTGGTTCCCAGGTGTTCAGTATCTTGCTGTCAGGTATGTTTCTCTGTATTTATCCACATCAATAAAAGTGTAAAGGCAAAGGAGTCAACCGAGCATTCACCTGTGTCCATGGCTTTTCTTTCTAACTGGTCCTTGCTACAACTACGATGTAGTTGGGGCTGGTCCTGATTGGAGGTTGGACTAGATGGTCCCTTCCAGCCTTCGTTGTCCATGATTTTGTGAAGGAGAAAGGGAGTGGGGGGGCCGCTGCTGTATTTCTGCCCCTCTGTTTCTTCTTGAAGGGGCTTTCCTGGCTCTCCTGGACAGGGTAGTTCCTCCCCAGACCCGGTTCTTCGAACACCTGGTATGACCTAGAGTGGCAGTGGGGTCTCCAGCCTTGGAGGTTTTGAAGACCTGGCTAGACAAAGCCTTGGCTGGGATGGTCTAGTTGGGGCTGGTCCTGCTTGGAGCTGGGGTTTGACCTTAGGGTCACCATCTATTTCAATCTATCGTGGGAGGTTTCTAAAATGCTAACGTGCCCGTGGACTGGTGCATCCCCGTTACAGATGACGACCTCTCAGCAGTCCCCTGGAGATATATACCCACTTCCAATGCGCTGCTGGGGGCTGGCAGCCCCAGGGCTAGGTGTGGCCTCCTGCCCTTCCACCCCTCTCTTTTGTATGATGTAGAGATGATGGACGAGAGGCTCAGAGCGGAGGGATGAGGGAAGCCGGGGGCCGCCGCCGCCTCCTCCCCAGGTCTGCCCAGGCAAGCAGAGCCGCCGGCTTCCGGG